GCGCAGTTTGATGCTATTATTCTTTTGTTACTAGAACAATCGGATGCGGGAAAAATCGTTTGTAGTGAAGAAAAATAGGCAAAGGAAGAGCTTAGTTTTCAGATTTTTCTCTTGTTTCCATAGTTCCCCGTCTCATCAGATTGTCCAGCCACTACAAGCTTCAAGCGTACTACGCAGTCACTGTAACTCAATTAATGCCCAGTTCATCAAGTGATTGCTTTTACGAACGGACCACGAGCACCTCTGAAGAGGAGAACGGGCTTAATTGCTGGAAATGCGAGCTGCAGTGCTCAGATGCAAGTTGCAAAGTCAGTGGTCATTATGAATTTAGAAGCGCCGAAATGAAAGTTGTGTGAAAATTTAGACAATTTTTCATTTAATCGAAGTAGACAGAAAAATTAAACTGACCAACGACCAATCCCACATTGTCTGTAGTTGTCAAAGCAGAGTAGTCAACGCTCGTCAGCTGAATTGAAGTCTTAACCAAGGTAGACTAGTTTTAGAAAATTCCATACCTCTACAGACGGTGCAGTGCTGCCTGATTCTGCTGCTGCACAAACGTTTATTAAGAGCAGGAAAAAGAGCATTTTACTCCTAAAAAAAGTAAGATTTGGGCGTAAAAGGGTAAGAGATATAGTGGCTAAATTTCCAAATATAGTCAAAGGTTCGCACACACAAAAAGTACCAAGCATTGCTAACTTCTTCAGCGATTGCGAATTTGAAGCAGGTTTTTCCAGCAGGAGTAGGAGTAGGAAAGGTTAATATACCTAGTCCAATGACCGTCATTCTAAGAATTTTGAGAGATTTTTGATTTAGCTTTGCCACTAAAATCTGGTATTATAAACGAGAAAGAATAGAATAGACATAAACTAACTACACATCCCTAGTAGCAGTACGGAACACACAAAGTTGGTATTTCTCTCAATGTGGAAGTATTAATAAACCACTGCAGAAGCACCAACCCTTCAATCAACTCTAGCAAATCTAAAGTATCCTTTAGAGAGTGAAAGAAAAACTCTGCCTACTATAAAGCG